TATATATATTTGCTTATTTCAAGGGACCCTCAATTGTGGATGATGATAATAATAACAAATTATTATTATTATTTTTAAATGTATTTTTAATTAAATTTTTTTTATTTTATTTTAATCATTAAAATACAATTTAAACAATTTTTATTAAAATAGCTCTATTTACATTATAATTCAAATCAAATTTGTATCTTACATAAAATGATATTTCTGTAAGATAATATTTATCGTTTTTTTCTTTATTTTGATCTTAGGTCCTGGTGCACCTGGGTCTCCTGACGAAGGAGTCTGGTTTTAAGATAGCGGAGAACGCGTTCAGCGGAGGTCCTCTGGGCGAGCTGGTTCAGTGGAGTGACCTGATCACCACGCTGTATCTGCTGGGACACGACATCCGCATCTCAGCGTCTCTCGCCGAGCTCAAGGAGTGAGTCTCTGACTCCGTCTCTGTCCTCACTACTCAATTCAGTTCCGTTTAGTTCAATTGAATTCAATTCTGTCTCTCCAGGATCATGAAGAAGGTCATGGGCAACAAGTCCAGCTGCCCCACAAAGGGTGATAAAGTTGTGGAGCTCATCTACATAGACATCGTGGGTCTGGCTCAGTTCAAGAAGACTCTGGGCCCGTCCTGGGTCCATTATCAGTAAGTTCGCATCAGATTTTGTGGATTAGTATGAAGTAGGGGTGTAACGATTCATCGATTTTGATCGATAAATCGATACGATGTCTGGCGATACGATGCATCGATGCCACGCGTAAAATATCGATATCTGTAGTATAAATAGGCACGTTTATTTTGGCACTGTCCACATTTTCACATAATGTCCGTCTAAGCATTACTGACAATGCGTGCATTCTCGTTCAAACTCACGTATCAGGACTCGATATAAGGATTGCCTGAAGGCACAAGGTGAGCATAAAAGACGCTCGGGATTGTTTGCGTAACAGTCGAGCGCTGTGTGAGAAGTTTTCTGCGCACACATCTGAAGCGCGCGCACGCACACAGACAGCCGCGTCTACACCGCGCGAATACTAAATAGAGTTCTCTTCCGCTTTTTTGTGCATGGATGAATAAATACCGGCAAAATTACTTCAAAATGCACGTTTTGGCGAATATCCTAGTAAACGCAGTCGGTTAGGCATATGTCTTAACGTAAACAGTTGAGAAAGAAAAGGCATGTGTATCAGTAGATTAAATCCGTCTTTTCTTTACTGTTTATTGAACTTGTGTCTTTGTATTTATTTTCTGCTATTGCTTGTAATTTGGTTATCTGTAGAAAATATATTTAGCACTGAGCCCATAGTAGCAGCCAGAATTGTTTTTCCAATTGTTTATTTTCTTTATTATTTAAAAAAAAAAGTGTAGTCCTATTTTTTTTGTTGTGAATGTCCCAATTGAGGTACAGGATGTGAAAATTTCAGATAAATGTTCATGTTATATATTTTGGTTGCATTTGTGAGTTAATAAAAATGTAGATGGTTGTTTAAAATAGGTATATAATATCATAATATCGATATATCGATCGATGTACTCCTGTATCGAATCGAATCGTAATCGTATCGTAGAATTTTTTGAGGTATCGGCAAATATCGTTTCGCTGGGTATGAGAATCGATATCGTATCGTATTGTATCGTGACAAACCATCCGATTTATCCGATTTACATGAAGTATTTAATCCGTACATGGCTGTGCCCTTCACCTGACACAGTTTCTTCAGCTCTGTCAGCTCTGTTGAAATGAGTCTGAACCTGATCTCCTGATTTTATCTCCGTCTTCAGACTCCGAGATAGATTCGCCTCGGGATCGATCCCATCCGCACCGCGCCGTGTGAATCCCAGCCAGGATTGGGCTTCTCGAGTAATCAGGGTCGTCTGACCTGCTATGATCCGTTAGCTGTAACCGAACGCATTTGTTTGCTAAAGGATAACTTCCTGTAGTGTTAGAAACCGCCTTAGTCAGATTCTTTGTCAGATTCTCTAGAAAATAAATAATGAAATTAATTGATTTATTTTCTAAAAAAATTTGAATAGTTGTATTCAATAATTTGAATAAATAAATCTGAATGTTTCTTGTTTTTGATGGCAAATTTTATAACCTCTGTGTGTACAGATTTGTCAAAGTCTGCCAAAAATAATTTTTTAAAGTATTTATTATATAGTTTTGTTTTAATTTAAGTCATTTTTCAAACTACAACAATTCTGAAGTAAAACTAAAGTCATATTAATAAAAAAAGGAAAAAAATGTGGATTTACAGTATTATTATTATTAATTTAATTTCAGTAATTAAAAAAAACAACAACAACAAACCCTACAAAAATGTTTTAAAATCAAAAGTACCACATTTATCAATCAAAAGTAAAGTTTTCATTGGAAAAATGTGCTTAATTGTCATTAAAAAATAACAAAATACTAATTATAATTATAATGATGATTATTATTGTTGTTATTATTACTTATTTTTTCTTGTATTAGTGGTTATTTCACCACAAAAAAAGTAAGAAAATGTTGTATTACAGTACTTTATTTTTTTTATTTCAGTCATTGTATAATTTACAAAAAATTCAAAAGTAAATCTTAAGTCATAATTAAAATAAGAATATTTTTAAAACTACAAAAGGTTTTAAAATCAAAAGTCAAGTTTTTCATCAAAAAATGTTTGCTTGTCATGAAAAAAGTGCCAAAATGCAGATTATAATTATTATTGTTATTATTATTTCTATTATTCTTAGCATAATGTATATTTTTGTAATTCTTCTTTAAAATAAACATAAAAAAATGGAAAAAGTTCAAATGTTTTTTTTCCAAGACAGTTAAATGTATTTTTCCATCGTGTGTGTGTGTGTGTGTGTGTGTGTATACACATATACACATTTACATAAACACTATACAGCATCCAAATATTTAATGATGATAATGATAATAATAATTTTTATTATTATTATTATTATAAGCTTTTTTTTTTATGTACAGACGTCAGCACTTTGTAGCTAGCTTATTTGCCACCACTCAAGTGTTGAACTTGTGTTGTAGGTGCATGCTGAGGGTCCTAGACTCGTTTGGGACGGAGCCGGAGTTTAACCACGCCCACTACGCCCAGTCGAAAGGTCACAAAACTCCGTGGGGCAAGTGGAATCCGTATCGTAGAATTTTTTGAGGTATCGGCAAATATCGTTTCGCTGGGTATGAGAATCGATATCGTATCGTATTGTATCGTGACAAACCATCCGATTTACACCCCTAGTATGAAGTATTTAATCCGTACATGGCTGTGCCCTTCACCTGACACAGTTTCTTCAGCTCTGTTGAGCCGTTTGAAATGAGTCTGAACCTGATCTCCTGATTTTATCTCCGTCTTCAGACTCCGAGATAGATTCGCCTCGGGATCGATCCCATCCGCACCGCGCCGTGTGAATCCCAGCCAGGATTGGGCTTCTCGAGTAATCAGGGTCGTCTGACCTGCTATGATCCGTTAGCTGTAACCGAACGCATTTGTTTGCTAAAGGATAACTTCCTGTAGTGTTAGAAACCGCCTTAGTCAGATTCTTTGTCAGATTCTCTAGAAAATAAATAATGAAATTAATTGATTTATTTTCTAAAAAAATTTGAATAGTTGTATTCAATAATTTGAATAAATAAATCTGAATGTTTCTTGTTTTTGATGGCAAATTTTATAACCTCTGTGTGTACAGATTTGTCAAAGTCTGCCAAAAATAATTTTTTAAAGTATTTATTATATAGTTTTGTTTTAATTTAAGTCATTTTTCAAACTACAACAATTCTGAAGTAAAACTAAAGTCATATTAATAAAAAAAGGAAAAAAATGTGGATTTACAGTATTATTATTATTAATTTAATTTCAGTAATTAAAAAAAACAACAACAACAAACCCTACAAAAATGTTTTAAAATCAAAAGTACCACATTTATCAATCAAAAGTAAAGTTTTCATTGGAAAAATGTGCTTAATTGTCATTAAAAAATAACAAAATACTAATTATAATTATAATGATGATTATTATTGTTGTTATTATTACTTATTTTTTCTTGTATTAGTGGTTATTTCACCACAAAAAAAGTAAGAAAATGTTGTATTACAGTACTTTATTTTTTTTATTTCAGTCATTGTATAATTTACAAAAAATTCAAAAGTAAATCTTAAGTCATAATTAAAATAAGAATATTTTTAAAACTACAAAAGGTTTTAAAATCAAAAGTCAAGTTTTTCATCAAAAAATGTTTGCTTGTCATGAAAAAAGTGCCAAAATGCAGATTATAATTATTATTGTTATTATTATTTCTATTATTCTTAGCATAATGTATATTTTTGTAATTCTTCTTTAAAATAAACATAAAAAAATGGAAAAAGTTCAAATGTTTTTTTTCCAAGACAGTTAAATGTATTTTTCCATCGTGTGTGTGTGTGTGTGTGTGTGTGTATACACATATACACATTTACATAAACACTATACAGCATCCAAATATTTAATGATGATAATGATAATAATAATTTTTATTATTATTATTATTATAAGCTTTTTTTTTTATGTACAGACGTCAGCACTTTGTAGCTAGCTTATTTGCCACCACTCAAGTGTTGAACTTGTGTTGTAGGTGCATGCTGAGGGTCCTAGACTCGTTTGGGACGGAGCCGGAGTTTAACCACGCCCACTACGCCCAGTCGAAAGGTCACAAAACTCCGTGGGGCAAGTGGAATCTGAACCCCCAGCAGTTCAACACTATGTTTCGTAAGTCTGCATGAGAGAGGCTTTTTGTGTGAAACCTTTCCATTTTACCCTTTGGACATGGAAACTTTATCCGGGCCGCGTCGGGGTTCCGGGTGTTTTGGGTGGCGTCTCCGATCGGCTCTGGCTCTGAATAGCTCTTTTGTTTACAAACAGACTTTGACATTCTCATAAAACTCGCGGCTTTCCAAGCAGAACTGCTCTTATTTCTGATTAAGCCTGTTTGAGAGCTGAGATTGCTTTCACAGAGCTTTGGGTCGACCCAACACTTTCTGGAGTCTAGCAACGCTGAACAAAGGGCTGAATCTCACAAAACTCCTCAAGAATATCAAGTCATAGTATTAATATTCTTTTACCACAAAATAAAAATATTTTATATATTAAAATGTATATATTACAATTTTTATTGTACTTTACATTTTAGTGATTGTTTTAATTACAAAAAAAGAAAAAGTAAAAACTTAAGTCGTATTATTAAAATAAGATATAATAAATAATAAATATAAGAAAAGTTTTATATTATAATATTTTTTCACTTCAGTCATTTTTAACTACAAATAATAAAAATAAGTCATATTATAAGAAATAAATAAGAAAAATTTTGTAAATAAAAATAATAAGAAAATAATATTGTATTAAAAGTATTTTTTACATTTCAGTCAATTTTTTAAACTACAAAAAAGATTTCAAAACCAAAATTACCACATTTTTCGGTGGAAATTGTTCATGAAAAAAATCAGCTTGTTATTATTATTATTATTATTATTATTATTATTATTATTATTATTAATGCAAATTTGCACAATTTTCTTCAAGATTCTCATTAATATTATTACTTATTTTTTCTTGTATTAGTGGTTATTTCACCACAAAAAAAGTAAGAAAATGTTGTATTACAGTACTTTATTTTTTTTATTTCAGTCATTGTATAATTTACAAAAAATTCAAAAGTAAATCTTAAGTCATAATTAAAATAAGAATATTTTTAAAACTACAAAAGGTTTTAAAATCAAAAGTCAAGTTTTTCATCAAAAAATGTTTGCTTGTCATGAAAAAAGTGCCAAAATGCAGATTATAATTATTATTGTTATTATTATTTCTATTATTCTTAGCATAATGTATATTTTTGTAATTCTTCTTTAAAATAAACATAAAAAAATGGAAAAAGTTCAAATGTTTTTTTTCCAAGACAGTTAAATGTATTTTTCCATCGTGTGTGTGTGTGTGTGTGTGTGTGTATACACATATACACATTTACATAAACACTATACAGCATCCAAATATTTAATGATGATAATGATAATAATAATTTTTATTATTATTATTATTATAAGCTTTTTTTTTTATGTACAGACGTCAGCACTTTGTAGCTAGCTTATTTGCCACCACTCAAGTGTTGAACTTGTGTTGTAGGTGCATGCTGAGGGTCCTAGACTCGTTTGGGACGGAGCCGGAGTTTAACCACGCCCACTACGCCCAGTCGAAAGGTCACAAAACTCCGTGGGGCAAGTGGAATCTGAACCCCCAGCAGTTCAACACTATGTTTCGTAAGTCTGCATGAGAGAGGCTTTTTGTGTGAAACCTTTCCATTTTACCCTTTGGACATGGAAACTTTATCCGGGCCGCGTCGGGGTTCCGGGTGTTTTGGGTGGCGTCTCCGATCGGCTCTGGCTCTGAATAGCTCTTTTGTTTACAAACAGACTTTGACATTCTCATAAAACTCGCGGCTTTCCAAGCAGAACTGCTCTTATTTCTGATTAAGCCTGTTTGAGAGCTGAGATTGCTTTCACAGAGCTTTGGGTCGACCCAACACTTTCTGGAGTCTAGCAACGCTGAACAAAGGGCTGAATCTCACAAAACTCCTCAAGAATATCAAGTCATAGTATTAATATTCTTTTACCACAAAATAAAAATATTTTATATATTAAAATGTATATATTACAATTTTTATTGTACTTTACATTTTAGTGATTGTTTTAATTACAAAAAAAGAAAAAGTAAAAACTTAAGTCGTATTATTAAAATAAGATATAATAAATAATAAATATAAGAAAAGTTTTATATTATAATATTTTTTCACTTCAGTCATTTTTAACTACAAATAATAAAAATAAGTCATATTATAAGAAATAAATAAGAAAAATTTTGTAAATAAAAATAATAAGAAAATAATATTGTATTAAAAGTATTTTTTACATTTCAGTCAATTTTTTAAACTACAAAAAAGATTTCAAAACCAAAATTACCACATTTTTCGGTGGAAATTGTTCATGAAAAAAATCAGCTTGTTATTATTATTATTATTATTATTATTATTATTATTATTATTATTAATGCAAATTTGCACAATTTTCTTCAAGATTCTCATTAATGTGTCTTGAAAGTAATGTTTTACTTATGAGGTTTTTTATTCTTAAAAAAAATTACTGAAAATAAGAAAATGGAAAAAAGGTCAAAATGCAAAAGAAGTGTTTGTAGAAGTGTTTTTTTTAATATATATTTTTAATATTAAATATTTGTAATGTTTTTTTTACATATTTTTCATGACAATTAAGCTAATTTCCCCTCCATATTTTCATTATCATAATGCATTCACACATTTTTCTTTTGTTTTTGTAAATCTTTAAAAAAAATAAAAAATACAAAAAAATAAACATTGATATTTTATATATATATTTAAAAATCAACATAAATTGAAGACAGTACAACTTGTATAAATATTTTAAAATATAATATATCTTTAATATATTAATATATCACTGTTTTGCATTATGGCAGTGACAGTTTATGGAGAAACAATTTCTGGGTAATTGTCATGAAAATAAATAACATTTTTCATTTTGACACATATTTCTGCATTACAATTAAGATCATTTTTCCACCATATTCTCATTACCATAATGTCAGTTTTGCTTCTCAAATCTTTGTAATTCTTGAAAAATTACTCCATTAAATAATAATAATAAGGATAACTATAAATGTAAACATATTTTATTAAAGTCAACATAAATTTAAAGAGAGTAAAACTTGATGTATATAATTTACAATTTAAATAATATTTAATTGTTTTGGATTATGTTAAAGACCATTTTTGGGGATTTATAGTTGAAAATGAGCTGTACATGTTCTTGACAGGTTTCATGACATTCAATGCAGCTACAGTGGGTACGGAAAGTATTCAGACCCCCTTAAATTTTTCACTCTTTGTTATATTATAGCCATTTGCTAAAATCATTTAAGTTAATTTTTTTTCCTCATTAATGTACACACAGCACCCCATATTGACAGAAAAACACAGAATCGTTGACATTTTTGCAGATTTATTAAAAAATAAAAACTGAAATATCACATGGTCCTAAGTATTCAGACCCTTTGCTCAGTATTTAGTAGAAGCACCCTTTTGATCTAATACAGCCATGAGTCTTTTTGGGAAAGATGCAACAAGTTTTTCACACCTGGATTTGGGGATCCTCTGCCATTCCTCCTTGCAGATCCTCTCCAGTTCTGTCAGGTTGGACGGTAAACGTTGGTGGACAGCCATTTTTAGGTCTCTCCAGAGATGCTCAATTGGGTTTAAGTCAGGGCTCTGGCTGGGCCATTCAAGAACAGTCACAGAGTTGTTGTGACTTTTTAAAGAGAATGCGCCCCCGATCTACATAAATGCGTCTATGTTCGCGCGAATCAGCCGTGATCCAGCTTCACATACAGAAGAAGTGAGTGTAAGGTTTTTACGCCTTTCCTAATAATGTACTAATTAGCAAGTTTCACGATGAATGCGGCTAAAATAAACAGTCTCTCTGAGAGCAGCTCGGAAGAGAGGGGCGGGGTCAGCAGAGCTCATTAACATTTAAAGGAAAATG